TGTCGTCAACCAAATTGATCCTAAATATTCGATTACAAAAGGTATTTCGTTCTAGCACTCACCCCCAAGTCTAAACAACTTCACTTATTGCCTTTTCCCCTCTCTCACTCTGCCATCGTCTTAATTAGTATATAGTAGCTCGAGTAGACCCACTTCTTTTCCTTTCCTCAAAAGGTTTAGGAAAGAAGTGTGAACTGGGGGAATCTTGTTTAAAGAACACAACTTGCTATCATTATCTTTGCTGCTTTCTGTTCTAAGTTCTATTCCTTGGCTAATGGAATGGTTCCTCTTATTTTCACTATCTTGCATTTATCTGTTTGGGGCTCAACATTTTTGTTTTGCATATGATCCTGGGCCCTGGCTCAGGTGGTAAATGCTTGAAAGATGGTCGAAACGTGCAAAGACCAGATGCCAAATGTGTTATTCCATGCCTTCTTCTTCTTTGAGTTTGTCCTCAGATTGTTTACTCTAGTGTTGTTGATGATTGATACTTTTGCCTTTGGCAGTCACTAATCATGAGTTCAGTGCAAAGGAGGATGATTGGGGCTTCACTTCATTCATGCCTCTCTCTGACTTCCTCGACCCAAAGAGAGGCTATCTCGTGAATGATGCATGCTTAGTTGAAGCTTACATTGCCACCGATAGGACTATTGATTTGCTGTCAGATGCATTCATAGTTGAACTTGAAACTGCTTCTGATAAACTCAAGAGCAAGGAAGCTGATCATGGTGAAGCAGCCATAGACAACCAAACACCTACAATAGTCAAACCAGAGGAAATCACCACTCGGTCATCAGCTATCCTTTCAGCTCCTGCTGTTCTGTCTTGTCCAGGGCAAGATAAGGCAAAATCTACCAATCAAAAATTGCCAACTGCAGATCAGTCTTCTTCCCAGAGCGAGGTAAGTCAGCCAAGTTAATTGTAAATATTTTATGCATCTTTTGTGTCTCTATTATTACTTTCTTTCCATTTATTTCAGACCATTGAACCTGAAGACCCTACTGAGGAAGATATGGACACATTCTTTACTAGCTTAGAGTCTAAGCTCGCAAGCAGTCACATTGTTTCTTCTCAAGAAGAAGCAAAGGAAGCTCTGGTCAACATAGATGCAGCCCTGAATATGGCCCCAGCTAACTTTTATGATTCAGGGATGATATCTTCACTTAAGAAGGCTTTCAAGGTCCTATCTAGTTTTGATTGTTCCCCTACCTTTACGATTGAGCAAAAAAATGAGTTGTTGGCCATGGAGGAGAACTTTAAACAACTATCTGAGCGAGTAGTGAAAGCAGTGCAGGACAAGAATCTCCTTACTGAGAAGGAATCTGTGAAGCTGGCACTTACTCGTAATTTAGAGGATGGTTTAATCAAATTTAAAGAGGCCAAGGCAGAGGTGAAACAGGTAGAGCAAAAACTTGCTGCCCTCCATGAGCTAGTTGTTGAGGCACAAAAGAATAAAGAAAACATCTTGGCTGAGCGGAAGGAAATTTTCAAAATTTCCCAGGACTTGAAAGCGCAGCTGGATGCATTGGGAAAGGAATGGCCAGAGTATGTGGCCAAGGCCAAGGTTGCTGAGGAGGAGGAGAAAACCGTCGAGGCAGAATGGGGAAGAATGAAAGACTTCATCTCTTCTCTCAAAGGAAAGATTTAAGGAGAACAAATTAGCTGTTGTAGAATGGTATTTGAGCAAGTCTTTCTAATAATATATTTGGTGGATGTGCATGATGTAATCGTTTGAACAAGTTCATATTTATCTAAGGAAATTCCTTGTTTCATTTTCTCTCTCTCTCTCCTTTCCCTTCATCAAATTTTCTTGTTTAAACTCGATGAAGGGGAGGATATCCCATGGCTATTTGGCCTGTAGCTTTAAACATACCCACATCCTTGAAAAATAGGAATAAATAAAGATAATTGTTGCAAAATCTACAAGTGAATAAAATGTTTCAAGAAAAGATTGTATAGTAAAAATAAGAGAATTAAATATTTAACTATGGATTTCAAAGCAGAAAGGTCTAAACATGTAAGGATGGTAACATGATTGTTATCTTAATTGGTCGAGTTTTCCAAAGATATCACAACTCAATTAATAGAATTAAGGGTTCTAACTTAGAGGTGTTAAATTTGAGCATTGGTGATGTTAAGATAGATAACTGATTCACTTTTGTGAATTTCTTTTTTCATCTTTTTCAAGGATCCTAATAATTCCTCATCAAATCTCTGCTCTGCTTCTCTATTCTTTAGTTATTTTATATTCCCTTGCTACTGGTTCATCTTAGTCTTTGTAGCTTTTGCTTTTGCCTATATATGATCAGCAGGTCACTGGCAAATGGATGAAATCTGGTCATGGTTTAACATTGTTTAAAACCTTAGAAAAAAAACCCATGAACAGCATGCAAAGGCACTTTTGACAATTCTTAATTGTATAAATTGCCTTTACATAGCCCTTAGACATAATGCAACCATCTTTTCTACTGCTCATCATCTCTATAACAACATAAGGTAGAATCTACCAATGGAAACCTGCTAAATTTGCCAGTTTTCAATGATATATTTCAAATAAAAAATAAAAAAGTGAGATAGGGGAGTAGTACTTGTTTGTTGCCTTATTTTTTCTTTTACAAGTTTTCCTAGTTACAGACCATGATATAACCTTACCCAAATCTGCCCCAAGAGTCCAGAGGTTGAGACATTCTTTATAAATTTAGAATCAGAATTTGCAGTCAGTAAGACCCTTCCTTACAGGAAGAAAGGCAATGGAGTGTTCTTTTATTAGGTCTTTATTATGCAAATGAATGGAGTAGGAAGTAAAGTAATTTGTAGTAAAAAAAAGAAAAATAAAGAAAACAGTTGTTTGGAGTGAAGTAAAGCTCAAATTTAATATTTATTAAAAAAAGATTAAGTAGACTTAAAATAAAAGCTTGTCCGGATAGGTATCTTAGGATAAAACCCTAAGATGGGGTTTACTATATTAACGGTTTGACAACAAGTAGAACTAAGTTGTTATCAAATTTATGCCTTGCATTGTTTTCTTCTTTAGTTCAAGTCTTTAGCTAACCTTTCTTAATTTTCGCTTCTTCGTGCAGGAAACACTGGGTCTGCAAACGATGAACCGCGGAGCTTATTGTTCACATGGAAAGTTGAGAATTTCTCGAGACTGGAGGCCAAGAAGATGTACTCTGAGACCGTGGATCTTGGTGGCTACAAATGGTAACTTGCATACCTTACAACTTGTTTATCATGCACTGCCGACAGCTAATTAAGATGGGGAAGGAATTGTATTGGACAGGCGACTACTTGCTTTTCCCAATGTGGATCATTTGTCAATTTTCCTAGATGTTGCTGCTTCAATTGCTTCATGCCTCTGACTGAACTCTAGATGATACCTGCATAATTCAAGTTCAGATTTCTATTGGCTCACTGTTTGCAGACTGAATACTTATATTCCCCATTGCCCTTTTTATTATGTAGGATTTCCATATAATTTATTTTTTAATGCTTTGTACATAAACTTACTTCCCATTTTCTTGTTTCTCATATTCTAAAATTATATTTGTCTTCTTTCCTTTAAAATATCTAATACTTTTACTGTTTTTTTAAATTTCAATTTTATTTTTTATTGCTTCCTTTTTTATGCTTTTTGGCATTAAAATTTTTTAAAATTTTAATATAAAAATTATATCAAAATCTAAATGTTGAATCTTAAATTTTTTAAAAGTCAAATATGGACAAATAAAAAGAAATGCAGTAAATTGTTTTTTTGGCTAGAAGTGTTAATTGTACATTCAATATTGAATTACATAATAAGAGGAAATTTTTTTCATCTCATAAATCCTTTTTTGTGAATAGAACTTTTAAGTTGTAACCATCTAGTAAAAATCTGAATCGACCCAAATGATTAAGTTCTTGGTTGGAAATTCAACTCAAAATCTAACAACATCGACTTGAAAAAGATAAGGAAAAATAGCTGAATCCAAAATCCAACGGGACGAAAAGCAGACTTAACGAAGTTTAACCGAATATGATAGACTCATCCAAACCGAATTCGACTCAAACCACAAAAAAAATCATTAACTTAAAACTTACCAAAATCAAACTCAAGATGATCTAAACTCAACCTATTCTGACTTAATTCAATGATACTTGAATTCGAAGTTGTTCACTGCTAAACAAGTTTTATCGAGTGTTTTTTTAAATTTTTTTAAAAAATTTTATACATTTATCAAAAAAATATGATAATTATTTACATATTTTACCGTTTTACTTGAATTTTTATTTTAAATTGATACTCGAGTCGAGTTTTGAATTTTTTTTATATAAATTAATGATAATCGAATCGATCTCAAGTAATTCAACTTTTTCTTGAATCAAACTTGATTACGAGAAACTAAAATTCGATTGAGCTCAAGTCTCGAATTTTTCAATTGAGTCAAGCTCGAGCTTAACATTGTACATGACCAAGCTCGAGAATTGAGGGTTTTTAATTGAACCGAGCTCAAACTCAACTAATGTGCAGTATGCTTAGATAAAATGTTGTATTGAATAACTTAATTGAGGGTGATAAAATCTCACTGAACTAGAATGATTAGTCTAATTCAACTCAATTGCATTCTAAAAATTATCGACTTGAATTTCGAATAAATGTAATTTTTATTGATTCAAAATAATCCGAATTTGGGTGTAAGGAATAACGGATATGGCTTTGTAAGTATGAATCTAGGATGGTAGGCTACAAGTTTGGAGGCAGGATTTGTAGGTCTGTGGCTGTATAAGTATGAAAGCCATGAATAGGTAGTGAAGAGTTTTTATTTTCTAATTTATCAATGCCCAGTTTTTGTTCTAGGGACAAATTATTTTTTGTGATGCAACCAAGGAACATTTTGAGTTTTGTTGTCAATTACTTTTCGTGCGGTAATTGTTTTTTGTAATTGTACAGAATTTTCATACACGAATCAAGTTATTATGTCATGAAAAGTCTCCTGCTATACAAACAAGAAACTTGAAATGATAAATTGATTGTTGAGGTCGAAAAATTCACTTTTTTTTTTTAAAAATATTCATATACCGACACTCATTTCAATTATTTAAATATGAAATGATCCAAAATTTGTATTAAGACACCGTTTTATTTTTTTTTCCTCATTTCAAAAATTGACTTAATTATGAATAATAAATATAAAGAAATCAATATAAAACTAATTAAGAACTCAATTCTACTTGAATCGATTTTTAGAAGTTAATTAACAAATCTTGTTTCTCTTGTAGATTTTTCTTGTAACTTAATTGGGGCTACAATTTGTTTATGCTTTGAATGAACTCTACAATCCTTCAATAGCCTATCTTTGTAAACGATACCTGCATAATTCAAGTTGAGATTTTATTGCCTCAATATTTGAAGAAACAAATCCCAATAGCCACTCAAGGGCTTTAGTCGCCATGATTGATAACCTTTTTTTTTTTCTTCTTTTAGAAACAAAATGTTTGAATTCTTGCCCCTTTCTTGTTTATGCTTACCAAATGGAGGCTATATTGTGAATGACACATGCTTAATCCAAGTTGATATTGTTATCCCACTGATTTCATGTCATATGATCTAGTTGACAACAAGATATTAGCTATTACCTTCCATAATGCTGCCATCTTTTCTACAACAACATAAGGTAGAATCTACCAACTCAAACTTGCTAAATTTCCCAATGTTCAATGATAAATTAGAATAAAAAAGATAATTTTTCTTTTGAAAGTTAAATATAGATTGATTTCATATCAAAAGGGATAGTCCCAATTACACAGAAGGAGAAGGAACTTGGCAAAGAATCTGCCTAGGATCGAACTCAATGGCTGGCTTACACAAATTGGCCAGCAGCGACTTAATCTGTACAAAGATACTGACAAGCAAATGCACATGGAACACGGCATGAGACCACAATCAACTCTTGAACAAAAAAGGTAAGGGAAAAGTAAGAAAAGGAAACATAACCGTTGAAACGTTCCTTCTTCTTGCAAATTAGTCAAAGTCATTGCCTATGATGGTCCATGCCTTATCATGAAGAAAGACGTTGAGCATTCATTCTCAACCGTTAAGGACCTTCATCAAGACCACAGAACAAAAAACAGTAGACAAAGAGGAGGCCACCACAGCTGAATCACACTCAAACAACCACTGTAATAGTTAGGGGTAAAAACGTAAAAGATCATGAGTTCTGTCAATTCCTGATTTGGCAAGGCTATCAGCAATCTCATTACCTAACCTTGAAATATGCCTAATTAGCCAGCCACCTGCAACTCTGTTTTAACTGAATGGATTTGGAGGATGAGTTGTAGTAGCCGCCACCGGGCTTTACTAGGATTTGAAACCCAAGACACAACATTTGTAGAGTCAAATCCGATGATGATGTTACTGGAGTTCACCCAAGTAGAGGCAGCAAACAAGACCATGGCCTCTCTAACAGCCAGAACCTCTGCAAGGTTAGTGTCACCCCAACCAGCTTTTTGAAAAAAAAATAAGCTTAACAGCACCTGTGTCATCTCGTAACACCCTTCCAATGCCAAGTTAACTTGGACATCCCTTAGTAGCTCCATCAGTATTGAATTTGAACCACCTATTAGGCAGACACTCCCATGAAACCTTGGACTTAATTTACTTCCTTGAGGTGAGGGCGGAGCTAGAGGAAGGAGCACGAATAATATCAGTGATGGAGGTGTTGTGATCAAGCCACTTAGATTTGGCCCAACATGCCAACCACAATTTAATGATTTCCATCACGTTCGTAAGATCCCAAATTTTTCCATCAAAGATCATTTCGTTTCTATTGAGACAAATGGACCAAAATAATGGTGAAAAAAGACATTCTCCACACTTTTCTTCTTGGTATATCCACTTGGTGAGAGTTCTAAGCCTTAAAAAACGACATAGCATCTTTTTGCATGCAAGTAATGATATCTCATTCAACACACCATAAGCACCACAATCTCCAAGATTTGTAACAAGTAAACAAGAGGTGGTTGATCGATACTATACCATTATTGCACAACGCACACAAGGACGCCTCTGGTTGCATAAGATTTTTTTTTTGACAAGTTCCTCTTTGACAGCAACCCTGCCCCTAAAGACTTTCCACACAAAGATCTCCACCTTCGGAGGAGCTAAACCAGCCCACACATTTTTCCATAATTCTGTATCCACATCACAATTACTTAAAATAGATTTACAGAAGTAGTTAGCAGAGTAATTATCATTTGGGCTGAATTTCTAGGTTAATTTGTTGACTTCGAAAAAGCCTATGATAGTGTTGATTGGAGTTTTCTTCAATTTATG